CCTCAGGAGGAGACCTGGTGGCCGTTTGACATGTCAGGTCCGACTGTCCTCCTCTTCCTTCTGTGGCCGTTTGTTGCTCAGGGATTGGTCTACATGCTGAAGAAAGCTCACCAGAAGGGTCGCACATCTCTCTGAGGACAGCTGATACGGAAGGCTCTGATTGGCTCAGTGAGACAAAGGAGACCACCAGTCACTACAGCAGAGTCTTGGATTGGACTGGAGGTCTAGATGAAAGCAGGAAGTCATGTCTGAATGTTGGTCCACCTGGAGCTCTGACTACCCATGACCTGACTCCACCTGTTGTTGAATGGTAGCTTTTCCTCTGAAGGATCTTTTTCCTGACTGCACTCAAGTACAAGTCCTTGTTAGAAGATCCAGTTTAAAGACATTTATCAGAGTTTGTGTGGCTGTTGTATCAAACCCGTGCCTTCACATCAATCTGAATTAAAGCTGCAAGCAGCATCGTTCAGCCCTCAGCTCAGCGTGACTCTGGCCCTGTGCACCGCCACCTCATCAGCACCTCAACCCCGTCATCCATTCTTCTCCCGCTACAGGTGTTTAAAACCAGATACACGCCAAACTGCTTAACAGCAACTTCCTGTTTTGTGGGGGTGATGATGTAAATGTGTACCCATGTGATTGGTTAAACCGTGATCCATGAGAAAAATGTACCCGAGTGAAGTTGGCCCCCCCACCTTCTTCAAATCCAACAAAAGTGGTATCAAACCTTTGTGCTGCTATCATTTTAAAGATATTAATAAAAATTTCTAGAGGTCATCAGAGGTCAAGCAGCCCCCCCCCCCCCCCCCCCACACACACACACACACACATTAATGGAATCAAACAAAACTGGTGTCAATCTGTGCTGATTTGTGCTGCTGTCATTCTAAAGATATTACCAAAAGTTTCTAAAGCTCAACCAGACCCTTTCTTTACTGTAAAAATATGAGATATTAACCAGCACTGGATATTTTTCTCATGATCACACTCTGAAACCTGGTAATCAAACTGCTATAACTTATTTAAAAACTAGGTTAAATATAGCATTTATAATAATTTATGCATTCTGTTGGAGAAAAAACTTTATTTGCTGGTAACAAAATACAAAACTACGAGAACAATGTAGTATATATGTTTCCTGTTAGAAACGGTAAACATGGAACTGTGTGAGCCTCACAAGTCTAATACAATAACAGAAAAATAACAGCTAATCATCTAACTCACAAACTAGAAAAGGACTTTCTTTCATGAAATCTTGCCATCATTCCTTTCTGTAGAGCTCAGCGTGCGGACATTCGCTGGTGTTTTCAGACGCTTTGGTTACATCCGTTCTTAGGTCATCATACATCTCCCAGATGTACGGGGTCCTGTTACAGAATGTCGTATAATGCCCGAGTGTTTCTGGTGTTGGGCCCTCCTGAAATGTAATGACTGCTTTCAGTGTGAATTTCTCTCCTTGAAGTAGCAGAGTGGATGGGAATTCAGCAAGCAAAAACCTCTTTGGACTGTGTAAACGGTGCCCCAGAGTTTCTGTAGAGCATTTTCCAAGGGCTGTGTCCATCCATACAAGCTCTCTCAGGCCGTAACTGTGACAAACCGTCCCTGTGCAAAGTTGCTTTCCTGCTGAATCTGTTTTAAATGCTGTTGGGGATGGATCGGGATGTTTGGTCTTGGGCGTGGTGATTCTGGAAGGTTGAGCCCTTGTTCAACAGCAGACTGAAGGTGAGCTGTGCCAGAAGCTGAGAGGACTGACAGATCAATGGAAACGAAAGGTATGTGCCTTGTGTTTGGTGTTTAAAGTTGGCAGTACTGGGAGGAACACTGTCTTGTGAAGTGAACACTTGGATTTTCTGTCATTGTTTTTTGAATTACTGTGGACACATGGCACTGTGCATCAACACAACGAACACCAGTCTTCAACTGAACAGGGCAGGATATTGAGCTCAGTACCTCTGCCCTCAGTGAACGGGCATGTTGAGTGACACCCTTAGAAGCAAGGGATTTCACAAGCTGGAATTCTTTACTCTCCTCTGAACTATTCCACATGTTTGGAGCAGTAAGACTGTCACAGAAAGCGCAGCACATACTTTGACAGAAGGCATCAAAGGCACAGGTGTCCATGACAGTATTGTCCTTTGCCAAGTTTTACTGGTTGTTGGTTATTTCCATTGTTTAATAGCCCTAGCTTTAGTTTTTTCTTTTTCACAGCTGGATCTGAGTGGAGCCATTCAGGACAAGGGGAGAGGTATGAGGTCAATTTCCTCTTTGGCGGAACTGCAAGGCCTCTCCAGTTTTCCAAAGCTGCTGTTTCTTTAATGTCCATGTCTGTGTCGATTTTGGGCTCCTGAGAGGGGATTTCATCCACTTCCTGCTCCACAGAGGCTTTGTGTGGATCCTGACGCTTTACTGTACTATCCTGTCTGGCAACCTCTGCTTCTTTCCATATTTGTTTTGCAGAACAGATCCGCATGTTCCCTTCAGTGAAACCAAGATGACGTGCAATGAATTGATCCATCCTTATAGGGAGATTGTCATGCTTGAACAGACCATGTTTAATGTTCCTGAACTCTGCTTCAACATTAGCTGAAGTTGCAGTGAGCTTTTCGCTCTGAAATAGGGGAACCATTACTCCAGTCCAGAGTGGTAGGTGTCCTCCCAATCTAATTAGGTGTGGGACGAGCTCAGGTAGATGGTGCATATTGTCTCGATCACCATGAACTTCAGCATGGCACCTGCTCCCCTCACAGATGTCCACCACCCACTGCCTTAAGTCAGTGTTTATTTCTGTGCATGGATCCAATCTAATGTCTTCTTCTCTCTTGTCATCAGAAACAAAGTCTCATCTGCAATTTTTCTTTTCAGATTTGATTTGGACACTTCTGACATAATGGGGTTTCCAAAACTGTCACAGCCTTCTGTCTCACTTAATGCCACAATAGCAATGCTGCGTATTAGGACCTTTGCTTCTTCCAAGGATCGGGACTTGACAAGTTGTGCCATTGATCGCACGTAGAAATCCCTCACCCGATGAGGCTTTTTTCTCAAACAGTCCCACTGGCAAATCATTTTGATGAAACATGGTAGTTTGTAGGATTTTTTCCGAAGCAAAACACCAAGGCACTCATTAATGTAGCTCTTCAAATCTGAATGATGTGATAAAGCCTTAACTAAAGCACCAAGTAAAGCTAAGGAGAAATCACAGATGGCCTCCTTTGGGATTGGTGCGCCAGCACGAATCCACTCTGATAACCATCTTGTGATGGCCTGGACATCATGTCTCTGACAACATTTGCACCACTGGGACGTGAGAGTTGTCGCTTCCTGTTAACACACCTTGATACAGGAAGATATTTCCAGATAAACCATAAGGCCTGAGAAGCTTTTTTACAACTGAGCCAGTCGCATCAAAGGCGACTATGGGGTGCTTTGCAGTCTTGTACATCAGCATCTGAGTTTGACTCCAGTAGTGACAGAAGAACTTGTCCAGTCCAATGTCCCAAATGCTTCCACTGTGAGGGGAACTGTATTTTAATGAGTGGAGAGACAGTATTGGGTTTTATGAGCAACTTCTAGTTGATTTTGTTCGTGTTTGACTTTGCGCAGAGTTGTCAAATTTGGTAGATGGCTTGGCTCTGGATCACCAAAATCCATCAGCTTTGCTGCCTCTGATGCTCTCCACACATGGAGCTGCAGTCTGCCTTCACAAAGCTCTTTTGTTACTTGTGCCCTCAGACTTCCGGACATGGCTGTCTTAGAAAAGCCAGTGTGCATAGATTCATCCGTGTTTTTTCCATTACACACTTCAGCACCATTGGGCAGCGATTTTCAGGTTCCTTTTCACATGTAATGTGCAGCTGGCCACTACACTCTTTGCAAAAGCCTCTGATTTTAATAAAACAAGACACAGTTCTGGGGTTAGGGTTAGGTTTACGTTTAAACGTAATGGTGCATGTACTTTTAACCTCTTTCCAGATTCCCTGGTTTACAACATGAGTCCATGTACCTGGCTTCAAAATGGTGTATTCCCTTTTCTTGAAAGTATTCTTTACGTATGTGACTTTGTGTGGAATCAGATGCCTCCACTGTTCAAATGGGAGCTCCACATTGAAAGTCTTGCAGTCTTTGTTTTGAAAAGGAGAGCTGCTTTCTTCAAAATCATTATCATTGTCACTGCTGTCTGTGTCAGTCAGTCTCTCTTCATCACTGTAATCCAAACATTGTGTCTGTTTAATTTAACAAAAGTGTAAAGAGCTTTTGGTGTCATCTTTTCACCAAGTTGTCTGCATAGATTTTGCCATATGTCATCACTTGGAGTTGAAATTTTTCCATTTTTTATGACTTCTTCTTTAGAAGCACAAAGGACTTCAAATACTGCAATTTTATCCACGACTGATTTCTTTGGCATCTGTCAAGCAAAAATTAAAAATGTGACATAATACTGCTATGATTTGGTTATAACTTTATTTCTACATCTTTAAGTGGACATAAAATTACTTACTTTGATACACCGTTTTGACGTAGTGAATTGAAGTGTTGATTGCTGTTGCTCATGGGATCTAGCTTAAAAATGCAGATAAGATAGCTAGCACATGTTTTCTCCAACTCTTTTTTTTTTCTCTCAGAAGCAGAATGTGTATGATAGCACCCCCTTGTGATCACAAACCAAACACAGGTCGCTATGTTAGTTTTTTTTGGCAGAGTTGTACCAGTTTATCCTTAACAAGATCTAGTTCAATATTCATTTGATCAGTATAAAAATGAATTTAATCTATGTTCATAGCTCATCATCGAAATACTTGTAGATAAATCCAGGCTGTGTTGGGATAAATCTGTGTCTGTGTCAATCCCACACGTGTTTAATAGTCCACTCATTTAATAGCCCTTTGTGACCATGGCTACAGAAGTTTGACTCTTGCAAAAAAATATAGTTTGGCCCTTTCAGGTAACATTGACAGTTACATAAGATTCACAGTTCTGCAGGCTGTTTGGAGCCTTTGAGT